ACTGATAACGTCCATTTCACGTTTGAAGGTGAACATTTTAGACAAGTGGATGGTGTTGCTATGGGGAGTCCATTAGGACCTTTATTAGCGGATGTTTTTATGTCTTATGTTGAAAACTTATCTTCTGATTTAATTTCTAAATTGCCTTTCTATAAGAGATATGTAGACGATATCATTTTGATATGCGACGATCATGAAGATGCGAGTCGTCTATTGGACAGACTTAACTCTGTACAGAATCATATTAGTCTTACATGCGAGGAAGAAAGTCGCAACCAGCTCGCATTTTTAGACATACTTCTGAGTCGAAGAGACGATGGCTCAATAAGACGTTCTATCTACAGAAAGCCCACTTGGATAGGGCAATATCTTAATTTTCACAGCTTCTGTCCATTACAATATAAGAGAGGCTTGGTGAAGTGTCTATTTAAGAGGATTCAGCGTATTTGCACGGCTGATGTTATAGACAAGGAAAACGAAATATTGATGGATACACTTGTTGAAAACGGATATCCTTTGAAGTTTTTAAACAGGTGTAGAAGTCAACTAGCCTCTAAACCTACAATCCATACCGTCCCTAAGAAGAAGGTTTTCATCAAATTACCATATAATGGGGAAATAAATAGTAGGATTTTGAGACAAAGGTTGAATTCCATCATCCGTAGAACCTACTATGCAGCCCAGCTTGTAATTGTCGAAAAGGCTAAAAATATGCTTCACTGGAAACCTCAAAAGTGCACAAGTGATTATATCACATCCCATACAATTTACCAATTTTCGTGTGTGTGTGTGGACATACATACATAGGGAGGAGTAATCGCGCGTTGCACGTGAGGGTGGGAGAGCATATCCCAAAGTGGTTAGGAAAACAGATGAATTGTGACAAGCCCATAGATGCAGGTGCCAGACTACCGACTTCGTCTATAGCTAAACATTTAATCGAGATGAACCATAAGGTTGATGTTAACTCAGCCTTTAAGGTCATCTATAAAAACGGTCAAGGACGTTTACTGAAATACGCTGAGGCTATAGCCATTCATAAACTTAAGCCCCCCTTGTGTATTCAAAAACAGTTTGTTATTACTCTTAACCTACCTTGGTAATCCTTATTTGATTGGATTACCAAACGTTTGTGTTAATTATTCTTAATTCTTTTTTTGTCACCTTGTTTAATTTAACCTTTCCATATATATTGACTTGACAAGTAAATGTGTGATCAGATTGTTCGAAATGTATAGCGCTAATACATCACATTTTTCAGATAATCTCCGTCTTCTAATAATGCTAAAAAAAAGGAAAATGGCAGTCGTTTGAGAAATTCACCACTGTAGTAGGACGTTATTTCACCATACAGTAAATTTATTTGGTACAAGAATACATTAATACGGTAATTTCTACTGATGACATTTCGAACACAATTTATTGTTGCTCAGTCATAAAAAGGTACTCAGATAACTTTCACACTTAGTTTATATCATGCAATTATTCCTTATCCTTTGATTTTACTAGTAGTATTATCCGTATCTCTGGCATTAGCATCGAGTCACTCTTATCGCATGTGTTCTGTGAAGATTGGATGAACAAAGATTCAGTGCTGAACTTCTCCCTCCATCAACCTATTTTACTATTTAGAACTGTAACTCTGTCCCATGCTATCGTGCGGTTGTTTCTGTTAGTGCAGTCACTGCATATGTTCATCTTTTCTTTAAACTATGCGTCTTCGTGGAGTCAATCATCCTACATTTAAATTCCCATGCTCTGATAATCTGACTACCCCCGAGCATGACATTTTGTAGATTACATTAATTTGTCTGTTCGGGTCAGGAGAGTCCTTTAACCCAGAACTTGTCCTGCTATATTAAGAAACAGTGGAATTGTAATTACGAAGTGTTAATGTTGTGTGAGCGCCTCGATATGACTTTGAACAGCAATAAATTGTGCTCGAAATGTTATCAGTAAATAATACTGTATCACTGTATGCTTTTGTCAAATGAATTCACTCCATGATGGAATAGTGCTTGATCGTTGAAGATTCTTGCGACAGAAATACACATAGATATCGTGAAACTCCAATAAACACAAGAAAATATACTGTAATGCAGACCAGGAGTGTTGTCTATTAATTATGTTTTCGTTTAAAGGTTTGATTGCATTCCTATTACCAACTGTCAGTTTTCTACCAAATATTTACATGTGATATCGAGCGCCCCACTCGACCACGAGCAAGGAAATGTTTTCCGATATGATTTCTGGGAATTAATTTAGGAGGAAAACTTGAATTTCTTATTTGGATGTTCATTTTACATACTAGTTGTTGTTGTTGACATAACCTAAAGTGTATTCAGACGGGAAATTGCAAGTCTGAATAAAGCTCGCTAAAAACAGCTGTTTAACCCTAAAACAATGCAGAATTTTCTGTAGAGATGCATCAGACTTTGTGTGGAAGAAATATTTTTATTTTATTTTTTATTTTTGGTTGCAGCTTGATGCCACACCGTATTTTCAGTACAAGTATGGAATTTTCAGCATGGATATCGGTAGCCCAAATTTTGCAGGCCGACCATAGATATCGGGTGTGCGTCGGGAGGGGATCGAACCCCGGACCATGTGCGTGGTCGGTGAGAGTCCTAACCACTGTGCCACCGACGCACATAGTTTCACTGCATAAGTTTGTGCTGAATTTAGCCAGAGCGAATTCAGCCACTGTAGGGAAAAATACTTCTCTGAAATTTATAACCTACAGCGTTCATCATTCAAAATATATTTCTTACTTTGTGCGGTCAGCTATTGTCGTGCTTTGGCTTTCGAAAGTTCTTTGGTCATATAGAACCAGTACATTCAAAAAGATTGGAGGACGTACACTTGCATTAGCAAGTAAGAGTATTTTGAGTACCTTTCGACATCCTTTGGCTCATTATTATTATTCGCTTAGTTTCCAAGTGGAGTATATGGCACCAACAGCACATCTCCATTTCATCCTCTTCTCTGTAGTCGTCTTTAGATGACTGCGTGGTTGTTCATAAGATATCATGTCCTCCTCCTCCTCACACGGTCTCCTAGATGTCATCCCCGGACCCATGTCGTACTCATCGTTTCCCATTCGGGTTCCAGTTCAGGCACTGTCTGTCTCGTGATGTCATTCAGTGATCTCTGCATCGTGTGTCTGACCCATCTCCTTCGTCCTCAGCATATTTGTCGGGCAACAGACTCTTGGTTGGTGCGTTCCTTGTTGCTGACTCTTTCTGGCTGGCCATCTGGTATTCATTCTTCATGTTGGTCCAGTGTATTCCTGTCTTTTCTCTCCCCACTGCCTTTCACATGACCCAGTCCACCACAATCAGAGATATAATCGGTGATAGTTTACAGCGTTGTCTTACTCCTGTTTCCAACTCAAAGACATCACTGTGTTTTTGCTTACGGACAACTTGATATATGGCATTGTCATATAGCCGTCGGATTAGACTGATGAAGATCCTTCATCTCCTAAACCAATTCTCACAATTCAGACAAAACGATTAACCAACCGAATAAGTGAAGAATATGAGACTAAATAGGAAACGCTTCGTACAAATTTTCGTGTGATAACCTCCGTCTGTCTCACTCTCATCGTACAATTTCCACTCATACTCAATTGGGAAAAGACTTCCTGCTCAGCACCAGTATCGTGCATTACAATTTTCCCCTTTCATCTGAAAGCAAGAATGCATATTAATTAATGAATCAACTACTTGTAAGTTGAAGGTAAGTCAGCTCTACACGCTGTTTTTATCAATTTCACCAATGCGAATTCCTCCGATGATATTATTATTCATTTATGTGTTAGAATAGGGAATTAGTCTTTGCACACTGAAGAGCATTCACCTTTTAATCCTCTTTGATTTGAGTAGATTGCATGGTTTATCAGTAAGTAAATATGGCGATTTGATAAGTACACTCGTGCACGCTACTTTTATTTTATTTCCCCTACTCGATCAGTATTTTTTCCATCAAAATAATAACTGAATATATGTGTATTCAAGTTAACACTCAGAGCAAAAGTAAACAAACTAGATTATTCACTTATTTTATTGATGTTCTTGTTTATTACTTGGTTGACAAGTATTTTCTTGTGTGAATGATAAGCATTTGATAAATTCAAAAATGTACTTCAGCTGAATGTGCATTCATTCTTTCGGTACATTTTCGATAAATGAATTCATCTAAAGGCGGATGTTGGAATGACTCTAGTTAGAGAGTCTCTGAAAATGAAGTAGGGCTGGACAGCTAATTCTTTCTATCCCTTGGCGTTTCGAAAGAGACAAAGGACTTCATCTTTGAGTTTTGAAGTTTCAGTAGCGGTGACGTTGTTTTTACGGTGTGAGGTTGCAAGCTTCATGGCTAACCTCCCCTATTTACTGCCAGCTAAGCGGTTTAGGAGTGTGTCTGCCTGGGATCTAATCCTGGACTACGTTTAGCGTGGTTGGGGAGCATTCTAACGCTGAAGACTTTCCAACAATATCACAGGCTAAAAACATTGATCAGTGGTTTCTACTCAGTAAGAAGTCTCTACTCATGGAGAAAAAATAACTGTTCTTTGGTGGAGAAGTCTCTACTGTAAACCCCAATCCCCCAACGGATTAGGGTTCAATTTATCACCCAGTACTATTTGCGTCGGTGACTAATTTCAACAAATAATCAACTGACCATTTCCATTTGTCATTTACTGTGATTTAAAGTGATTTGAAAAGAGCTGACTGAAAATGGATATCTAGAAGAGTATCTTATTGACCTATTTGAAAATGAAATCTAAGTGCTGTAAGTTAGTCGGTAAGACACTAGATTAGTAACTTGGAAGCAGTTTACTGACCATCAGAAACTGAGATTTTCTTTTGTGAAAAAACTTTAACATATTCAAATAAATGAGATATAAACACATGGAATCATATTATCAGTATTTTTCTGTCCTTCATACATATGATCGATGCTCGAGAATGGGTTTTGATACTTCTATCGGTATCTCATCACATTCCACTGGTGATGAAGAATTCGTTGATCTGTTATCCTCCTTACGTTGTAAATGAATAAACGATCCTGATTTTGAATGGCAATATGACTGATTGCTCAACTGATTAACTGAACAGAATAAGGAATTCGGCAATGAGGTGTGAAGATCACATTCAGATCTATACATGTATCTTGGAAGTAACCTTTGTTGGTGTTGACGTATATCGTTAAGTTTTTCATATCTTTTAGGTCTTATGTGAGGTGAATTTTGTCTATGAGAGCATTTGTTTAACTGAGTTGCGTCTGTGTGATGCAAATGCTGGTCTTTCTGAAGATGATGGCTATTGCATTGATGAAATGATTTTGTATTGTCATACGTTGTCTCACCGTCTGTTTCACTGTGAACTTCACATTGCCGATGAAGTCGACTGTCGGGTTTGTAACGCTCGGATGAGGCTTCGTCACATACATCCCCTCTGGACACATTGTAATTGCATAATGGATCAGTTTGTCGAATTGTTTCAGATTGACAAAGCTTTGGGTCATTCGCAAGACGTTGGTGAAGATGTCTTTCTGATCCTTGAATATATGCTTCTTTCTTTATACCACCAGATAGATTCGGTGATGGCGTGATAATTCTGGACACTGAATGTCTGGGATTCAGGGAAACCAAAGTGTTTCTTAGTTTTCTGGGTGTTTTAAATTGGATCAATGCATAAAAGTTTTGCCGAAACTCTCGACATAATCCAATGCATATAGGCAATAGTAAGGCAGCAGGTAGATCACCCAGTTCAATTCCAATCACTTTGGCGGAAAGCATTAGAAAGAATCTTTGCCAAGTATTGTCTTTCGAAACCTGTTGGTGTATGGTATTGAACAGAGAAAATTGTTATCACTTTGTCAATAAGCAAGCATCTATAAAATATAGTGGTACAGACATAAACTAATCTAGGTTGTTAATCAGAAGTAGAAAGGTACTTTACTGTGAACGACTTCTTATAGAGTTTAATAGTTGTTGGGTGTTTGGAGGCAGTCGGTGAGAAGCCTTGAACATAGGTTTCGTCCTTATTTGTCAGTCACCAGTCACTAAGGCGTATCTACAGTCTTGAAGGAACTCGTGTCCCTTCTAAGATTTGAACCGGGGCCACCCAGTGCTGCAGTCAGAGACATTACCACTAAGCTATTTAGGCTCATGATTGACCCATAGGACTGTGATGGATCCTTCCATTGGACACTGGGTAGCAACTGATGTCATGTGTCTAGTCCTTAGTGTTGGTGCAGACTAAATTCTGTGAGTCAAGATCCAAGGTTTCTTGTCGATTGCCTGTAACTATCTAACAACAATTCAGAGTGCATCGTCATGGCAAACCGCCTACCTGGCATGATGGGCACATCACAAAGCTGGCTGATTGATACCATTCAGTCTGCACTAACAGTAAGAAGTAAACTCTTGAGATTGATTATTGTCTAGACTCCAATCCAAGAGTTTAACAGTTCTCTGGCAACCTGTATTTTAGGCAAATTTATTTGATATAGTAAGCAGTGATACACTGTTCATGACTGGATGACGTTGCAAGTACATTTCATCGTTTATAATCATATTAATCTATCTACACAACTTCTTAACTTGTTTTGTATATAGTTCTACTCCTCTAAGACAGTGTTCGATATGTCAGTGGTCACTATTACGCAACTCGTGAATATGCTCACTATAATAAAAACGGTCTCAGTTAGTTTCACTGACTAGATGTGAATTAATGGGATATTATCAAACGAAATAAAAATGACTTCTCTTTGATCTTCGAATACTCATTTACATAAGATAGATAAGATTTGAACAATTTCAGTTTCCAAAGGAAACAGTGATGAAATTTCACCACCTAGATCTGTGTAAATTGCAAACTAATTTGCAAATCGGGAATTTGGTTTACAGTGTAACCAGTTGCCCCGAAGTAGCTAGCCAGGAATCGGGTGGTTTGAACTGATTAAGGCCTCTATGCTGAGTCAAACTAGGTGCACCGAAGATGAGCTCGGTCGCGAACGATTGGAATGGCCATTCAGTATTTAGATTACTCCTCTCTGGCTAGCAGGCACTACTGATTGATGTGGATGGTATACAACTACTCATACCGGCCAGTCAGTAGTATAAAGTTTTGTGGATTTGTAGTTAGCTAAGTTTTGTGATTAATGTCCTTTCATAGAGTTTTAATAGCTAGCCATTCGTACTAAGTATCTGATGTGCATTAATAACACCATGCAGTTAATACAACTCCAGAAAAGAAAGTCGTTTGGAAATAATAATGAAATCAACCACTTTTTGCTTAGAAATAATTTTCCAACCAATTTCAGTAACATACCTCAGCATCTGTGAGCGTCATCTCTCCTGGCCTTGTCAGTGGATCAAGCATAGTGAATAAAGCACTTGGAAGTCGAAAAAGACCTTGGATAATACATATTGTAGCGACGTGCATCACTTCCAGATGTTTTATCCTTAAAACAGTTGCCCGACTTTCGGCATATCTCTGTCGTATGATAATATCATCTATGAAGTAGGCTCTTATGATTGCCAAACCTATGCATAAATTAGCCAGTGCCAGTGAACAATCAATAGTGATTCCCGTTATCCATTGATAATCAAAATAACTAGCTGCCAGTTCAGCCGTACGTATGGGTACATCAGTTTCAAAAACAGGATCGTATCTATTTATTGGTTTTGCAGCAAACCAGTACTGAAATCCACCAGCAACTTCACATCTTGCTAATAGCTCGAGCGCCAAAGGCGATGCTAACAGCGACGATGGTGATGATGATGATGATGATGATGACTGAAGGAGACTGGAATGCAGTGATTTGTCATACTCAAAATTATAATACTGAACACGCCAATAAGCTGTCTCAATTAAACCGTAGATATTAGCCAACAGAATAACGCCAGCAGCTATACGAACAGACTTCCTACTATTACCATCAGCTATTATCCAACGTAGCACAGTATTCGATGGAAAATTTGTATCTCTCTGTAACAGGACAAGAGTTTCAATTCCCAGTGTTATTGTCATTAAAACGATTAGCAATCGATTTCCAGTCCATAGGCTATGAAACAGTGGACAGATTAAACCACTGCATGCTAGTAAACCTGTATCCCATGGTGTATCAAGATCAATTATAACAACTAATACACACTGAAATAAATGCAGGATGGATAAAATCAATAAATAAGTAGAAATTGATGCATAACCATATGGATTCATTAATATTCCTGAATCTTGACGCAGTGATTTTCGCCATTGTGGATTTGCATAAATTATTGTACAGATAACACAACCAATTAAGGCTATTGGTATCCACAATGGACTGATATATCGATCGAGATTATTGGTTATTGGTGAAAACTGTTCTGTTAATGTATAGAATCGTGAATAACGTGAAAGAATATCTAGATGTTGTAGGCTGTAAGCTTGTGTTATGCCTGGAGATAAAGTGGTTGTTGTTATTGCCGGCTGAACAGCCTACAAATAAGTGACAAGAGGACAAAAGACAAGGTTACACTATATTAATCAGTTTACCAGATATTTTAAAGTAACAAGTCGTGCTTATTGGCACTGACCACAAAGACAAAGGAAATAGGCCTCATAGACGAACCCTGTGGATTACGAACCCCGACTGAAACAGATCTCCTTTTCAGTTAACTCTGACTGTCTAGTGCAAAGCCTAGAGTCCTCTATTATTATTATTGTTATTGCTATTATTATTCCCTTAGGTTCATGGTAGAACATACGGCTTCAACAACACGTCTCCACTTAATCCTGTTCTCTGATGGCCCCACAATTGTCCATAGGCTCTAATCTCCTCATCACACCGTCTCCTCCATGTCACTATCGGACGCCCAGCTTGCTATTTCCCATTCAGGTTTCACGAATGGACACCGCGTGATGTCACTCAGTGGTCTCTTCAAAGTGTGTCCGATGCATTTCCATTTTCCTCAGGATACTTGTTGGGTAACAGGTTCTTGTCTGATTCCTTGACAGAGTTCCTTGTTGTTAACCCTTTCTGGCCGACCATCTGATCTTCACCACCTATCCAATGAAGGCAGCCGTTGATGAAATAATGAAGCCTGTTCGAAATCCTTTTCGTGACGCGACAAGTTTCTGAACTATATGGAAGAAGTGACTGACTTGACTTGAGTGTTGAAAATCTAAGTCTTGTTCTCCCTACCTACTGCAGTAGATTCCTAGAGTGATTTCAGATTAATGAATGTCTGTCTTGTCTTTAGAATCCTGGCTGGCTTTGAAATTTTTATCCTTTCTGACTGCCTGCAGTTAGAATGGTCGTTTTTAGATGAGTTAAAGAGGTGACCTCCTTCAAAATTTTCCCCATTGATGGTCATTAGTGCTAGTTCCTGTTTTTGTTGTTGGTTAGGTATCTTCACCACTCCTGTCTTACCTATATCCGCTTGAAGTTCTACCTTTGCTGCCTCTTCTGACGAATTGTAGATCTTCGAGTCGTGACATGAGTAACAAATCCTCCATGGAATACAAACCTCCCAGCTCACTACAATCAGCAATGTCATCGTTGACAGTAGGAGACATCGTCTTATGCCTGTCTTCACTTCAGAGGCTTGTGGATCTTTTTACTTGTGGCATCAATATATAGCTGCTGAGTGAGGCTGACAATGGTTTGGGGCATTCCATAGTATTGAGGTAGTTTCCAAATGATCTTTCAGTCAACTCTGTCAAAGGTCTTATTAATTTCGATGGACTTGCGGGTACAGATCTGATTGCCATTCAATGTTCCGTTAGATGGTGCTGCGTAGCCTTGGGGTTTGATTCGAGTATGATTTAATTTTCCTGAATCCAGCTTCTACGGGGAGGAGTTCTGCATCCAGGATGAAACGGGTTAGTTTTTTGCATGAATAGGAGAATGATTCCGCGCCAGTCCTTGCAAAGTCTTAAGTTGCCTTTCTTCGGTAGTTTGACAAGTTAGTCTACCTTCCATTCCTCCCAAACTTTCTGTAGTATTGGCGCTGAGGTCTCTGGATCCATTTTCAGTACTTTAAGGGAATTCCGTCTGATGCAGCTTTTCGGTAAAGTCCTCCATAGACAAAGTTAATGTTGTGTCACATTTGTTAGTGACCACATTTACATATTCTGTTGAAAGTTTTTGATGTAGTTGTGTTCTCTGAGCTGGATAGTTAATTTGCGAAGCTTTCATCACCGTACTGGGTGACATCTTCAGCGCATACTTCAATTTGAAGTGCTCAACAAATCAGAAGTGCTTAACAGCCATTCTGGCGGAAAACGGAAATCATGAGTAATTAGTTCTTGGCTCAGCACCTAGCTGTTAATATACTTTCTTTGTAATGCACAGGTCTAAGACTTTATCTATATCAGAATGTGCTGAAGAGCCTCGAACTAGAGCGAAACGTCTGCCTGGTACTCGGTGGTTCTCAGTAGTTCTCTAACATTCAGTAATCTAAAGTAAAATATTATGCAATTTTTCACTTGATGAACTTGATCTAGTCGAGAATAACATTGAGCATGATAATATGATACTGTCCAGTTTACACGTACGCGTCAAAGCACTTACCTCAGACTAAGAGAAAGAAGCATTTGTAACAGCATATCTAAGAACATTCCAATGCAACTGTGCCTGAAAAGTACAAAAATCTTCTACAGTCCGATAGTCTACCACCTGATGGATAGTGGTCACGATAGTGATGTCTCTAAATCATTTAAGATAGTTTAATTGAATTTTAGATTTTCCCGTCGATTGATTGGACCAAATTGCTCGGTCTCAGGTTGACATATCGGCTTCAATTAAATAATTACCATGACCCGTTGTACAAGAGGGGGGCCCAAGTGGTCTAGTGGATAACACTTTGACGTTTGAAACAATGGGCAGTGGGTTCGAGCCTCGGTGGGGAATCATCACTCACTGCGGAATGCAGGTACATCCAGATGACGAGTACCAAATAGGACGAAATGCGCGTTATCCTGGATTCTACTGCTAGTCACCAACCACCATTTAACCATTTAAGATAGTGTTCAATTAAGTTCTAGTTTACTAAGCGTTTCTGGGGTAAAGTAGCCCTTAAAACTCTAAAACTGAGCTTGTGCATTTCGAAAGAAGTTGTTGTTATTTTAACCCTATCCCGGTGAAAGCATTTCTTTTTGTGTCTACTTAACTTTATTATTTTCAGTTATTTTAATTATATTTAGTTTTGGTAAAGTAATTTTGGGATCCTTGAGTTTACATATACGCATGCTCTTTGACTTACTACTTTTTTGACTTCTACTCAAGTATGTCATTTAACTCTTGAGCAACATGTGGTGCTAATTTTACATTTCCAGTCAATTTCCAATCTTAACCGCATGCTAACAAGCTTATCAGCATATTTTAACATTTTTTGCATCCTACTATTTGACTTCATAATATTAATAGCCTCGATCTCCATGCCTAATAAATACCCAAAGTATATTGATGTCTTGCATAGTGACATTAAAATTGTCTTACATTGTATGCAGTCGACAAGTACCAATATAGTTTAATGGTGTTATCATACATTCCCGTTCATTTTTCTATTCTTGCATTCTGATGATGATTAGGCTATTTGAGTTATTTCTGGATAGCGAAACTGTTATTCATGTTATAATGGATGATGAATAAATGTGAGATGAAAATCTGCGTCATAGCAGGATTCCGATTAGTATTCAAAATAAGCTGTAAGCTTGGTTGTGAACATCATTTTGACGAATGTAACGATTAGGTAAATATATCATTGTCTTTATTCTTTAAAAGTATCGACATAAGCAATTTTTTATATATCCAAACCAAGTTCACTTTTAACAGTTTGAAAAAATTTGGGCATTCGGTATATGATATTCATTATAGTACAGGTTTTGTATTTCCCAATGAATGAAAAACAAAACGATATTGTCGTTGTTTTTACTGACGTTTGGCTATTTAATGCTAATAGCTTTATCAAAGTATTATTAAACCCGGAATTTACAAAATCTCAGCATATATATACATATATATATAAAATCATCAGCCATAGGTCTACATGCTATAGAATCAGGTCACAAAACTGATTTTGACAATATTGAAATAATCCAGAAAAACTTCAGAAATCACAAAGAACGTCTAATATCAGAAGCACTTCATATCAAGTGGAATCCAAATTGCCTGAATAGGAATGATAGACTGAAACAGAATCTGGCCTGGTTACAACACCTCCCTCCCCCATGAAGTGACAAAATCAACACGAATGTGATATGCAAGTTCATTATGTAAACACACACTGCCTTTATAATTTTAAACACTGATCAAATCCAACAATCTACACTTGGTTTTGTTATCTGTACCAATTGACCATCTTGACAACGGAAAATGCCCCCAGACTAACGAACGATGATCAAGTTAGTAAACTTTGTTATGATATCATAACAGATGTACTATTACCTTTGTTATTTGGTTTAGTGATCTTCATTGTTATTTTGACTTTCAATATGTCCTTTTAACTTGACCTAATATCCATAAAAAGTTTGAGCAAGAAAAAAATGCATAAAGAGGGATATCCAATAAGACCGATTGTAGACTTTAGAAACACACCGACGTATATGCTATCAAGATTTCTCTCGACAATACTAAGACCAATAAGAGACAACTCAAAAGCTAGAATAGTAGATTCATTTGAATTAGTGAAGTAACTAAAAACCACTAAAATAGAGGAAGATGAAATACTAGTCAGCTTTGATGTAAACAGTCTCTATACGGAAATACCCATTCAAATGGCCAGGAATGCACTGAAAGAGAAACTAAAAGAAGATAATGGCCTAAAAGACAGAACACAGTTATCCGTAGAAGAGATAATAAAACGGGTGGAATTCTGTCTGACAACAACATATTTCACATTCGAAGGGAAAATATACCAACAAAATGAAGGAGTAGCCATGGGATCGCCTATCTCACCAATAATAGCTGACATATTCATGGATTATTGGGAAGAGAATGCCCTTAAACCATTCAGGTCATCACAAAAGTGTTGGTGGAGATATGTAGACGACACACTAGTAATAGTGAAAAAAAAACGATATTGAGAAACTCTTCTCACACATAAACAGCCATGTCGACTCGATAAAATTCATCATGGAAAGAGAGAATGAAATTGGGGAATTGCCTATGTTAGACTGCAAAATACAAAGAATAACAGATGGCAGCATTAAAACGACGCTATATAGAAAAGCCACACACTCTGGAAGATTCCTTGATTATCACTCAGCTCATCCACTCACGGTGAAACGAGGATTAATACAAGGTCTTGCAGATAGAATACGTAGACTTACAACAACGCCAGAGGACCAGTGGAAAGACATAAACGTCTTATTCAAAATGCTACTCGAAAACAACTACCCAAAAGAATTTATAAAAGATAATATAAAAAAGAGAAAAAAGAGGGTAAAACCGGAGAATAACAAGATGGAAGAATGTAAAAAAAACAGTTACAATA